GATGTCGGAGTCCTCAGCGCTGCTCATCTGCAAGACCATGATATACAAATTAGGTATGCCTAGTAAACAAAATAGCAGTCCAGAAAGTAGCTCAGCCAAGAAGACACGCAGTTGCAAATAAGATGCTCAGCTAGGGATGACATTAAGTAAAAGGGTGAACAATAAATTTAGATTTAACTGGCCTTATTGAGTACTGAATCTTGCTGTAAATTTAAGCACGTTTAAATTGTCAGGCTCCTCTTCGGTGCATCCCTCACAGCTCCCACTGGTGGCACATTCTCCTTGTTGCTTGACGGTGACAGGGCCTGTCGAGCCAGCGGCTTCACAGCACCTTTCACTAGCACAGCTCCTGGCGAGAGCATGATATACAAATTAGGTATGGCTGACAAACAAAATAGCAGTTTTGTCTAAGTTGGACACCACATGCATTGTATTGCTAAGCTGTGCAGTATTGACTAAGTAGTACAATCTAGGTTCAGTGCATGACGTACTGAATACTAAAAATTATGAAACTGAACAAAAAATAAAACTGACAATTGAACTTAATTGAGACAATAAAGCTGAACATAAAATGTCTCAGTAGACGTCCAGTTCATATCTAACATAGATCTTGAAAATTGAGATGTTATTAAAATAATTATTCAAACTAAGAAAGCACTCAAGCTCCATAGCTTAGCTTGTAACAGATCTAACACATAACACTGAAGACACATGGTGGCCAATTAAAAATTATGCCAACATACAAAACAAAAGAGAACTGATGACCTAAAAAGAGAGCAAATCACAAAAATGTAGTTATTGCAACATGGACAGAAACACAAAGAAGGCAAATAGAAAAGCAAGGATCTGAACTCATACCTAAATGTGCTCCCTGTCAACCACACTGCCACTGACCTAAAAGGCAATGAAAACAATGACCACAACAGCCGATGGGATGGCCCAGAGAAACAGCACCACCGCTACAAACTGGAAAAGTAGGATAATGTGAGAAGTCACAATAAGAGAGTTAGCAAGGTAACATAAAACTCCAATTAATAGAGTCTTGTCTTGTTACAAGTTGTAGGTGAACCTACAACCAACGCATGTACATCACAGTACACAATTTATTTCGTTAGCGAAAAAAACGAGTACACAAAGTTCAGGCCACAGGCCACAACACATCGATGCAACTAAGCAAACAATGTCCAGGGAACATTACAATTACAATATAAAACGAAATGAACATAGGGCAAACATACATCCTCAACATGCACAATTCGAACATAAAACTACATAGACTGGCGCAGTAGGAACGTTCATTGGGATAACGACTACTTGGATCTAGCTCTCAGAACCTCCCAGCAGGCCTCAATCAAGTTCATGCGGCCCTCTTTGGTTTCCATGGTCAGAAAGTTCCTACGGTCAACTGTGTTCTTGAACACAACTAACGCATGAGCAAACGCAGGATCAGACTCGGCGACCCCATCTTGTTTCATAAGTTGCTTCACTTTGGCCATCTCCTCCTTGTGCTTGCTTGACCTCGCCTTCTGCTGCTGCTGGTTCTTAATGAACTGGGTCAGATCTTCAAGGCACTCTTCAATGGAAACAGTTTTCTTACTGGGGGGCTATTGATGGAATGTTCTCTATGGGTTCGTTTGGAGGACTGGCCGACACTATGTGTACCTACAGGTTCCTGGGACATGTCGTGTGGACTTGCATTGGTAGGAGTACTAGGTGTCCTCTCACGTTGATGGCCACCAGCAGCGAGCAGGGTGCCCCTTTCACGGGGGGTGCGTCCCCAAAGAGTGACTAGTAGGTCAAGGCATTTGGGAACTTTGGTCCGCTGCGCAGCCGATTGGCTAGTTTCCTGCACACGTGCCATGGTTCCACAAGTCAGGCCGAATATAATAGGAGCGTCCGTAGTAATTGGTAGTCAATGGGTTAGAAAGAAAAAGGTCGAAGGAAGTACCCCGTTGCCATCCTCAAAAATGAGGGGTCAACTGCGACGCCTCCTGTGATCGGGTCATGGCCCAGGCCAGTGTGGGTTTGAAGGTCACGCCAAGCGAAATATGACTGCTTCAGGTCACTCAACTTGTTCTGAAGCTGCTTCTTGTCATAACCCAACTTTGTTCTGTTTTCAAATTGTGGGTAAAGATTGTTCCACCCGACGGTCGTGAGGCCTCGTTGGCTCCAGTGCAAGAGGTTTTTCTGTTCTATGACTAATTCGAGAAAGATCCTCAAGGTGGCTTCATCCCAGTTAGCACGGTCAGTGGACATCTGTTGGCATTTCGAAATTATATGGTATGATGATTGCAGCATACAAGCATATTTGCAGCAATTGTAAGAGTGACAAACAGGGGAGTTAGGTCGTAATACAAGGGGACTTGCCTTGCCAGAAGTCCTCGCGCATTTTGAACGGCGAATGCAGTGCCTGCCTTCAGGAGAGGAGCAGGACGAAGCGGACGACGCTGCCAGTGTGTCTGATCCGGTGAGAAGGCTGCCGAATCCGGCGAACTGACAGGCGGATCCGTTGGCGCCGGGCGGCCTCGGCTGCAATAGGAGCACGTGGGTGTCAGATCCAGTGGGGGGGGACGACGGCGGCGTCGGATCCGTAAGGCGGGTCACAGAGAAACCACCTGCGGGGTAAAGGCTAAAGGCCTAACCGCTTCAACCGCGCCGTGCTATGCCGGCCAAGCAAACGCCAATCCTGCAGCTACCCGGAAAATAGGGACGGACCAAGGAACCGCGGCGCGGCCACCGGCCACAGCATTTTCCCCCCACGGCCTCGAAGAAAACGGTACAACGAAACCAAGGACGGGGGACAAGAAGACTCGGGAAAAAAAGCAGGGATCTTTGGGCTACTTACCGAACACGGTGAGCCGATCTAACACGTAGCGGCAGCGAGGAGGACCCAGAAGCTTCGGCGGTGGAGAGGACGGCGGATTTTCGTAGGATTTTTCGCCTTTTTCTTGCGAGGACCAACAAGAGAAAGGCAGTGCTGTGGAGAGGAGTGAGGAGAGAGAGGGAGGGCTCGGCGGGGACGAAGTGGAGTCCAGAGTGTGGGAGGTTTCGACAGCGCCGGGGAAGGAACGGAGAACCGGAGCTCACACCGGCGGCGACCCGCGCAGCGGAAACCCTAGGCGTGGGGGCGCGGGGGACGGAGTGAGGGAGGGAGGACTACGGAGTGAGTGAGTGAGCGACTCAGACGCGGAGGGATGCTGGCTTTACAGCCGTTCGGCTGGACTTGGGCCAGCCGAACGGCTGGGCTGATCAGCCCAGCGAACAGCGGCCCAGCCAGCCGATTTTGCCCAGCCGAACGGGCAGGTAACTTCCTCAAGGCAGCTAGCAATAAAGCATGTCTGTCAGTCTGCATGGGATGGATTCAGATCGAATCCTTGTGGTCAAATACGTGGATAGCACTATTTACCATATTTTAATTTGAATTCGGATATGAAATATGGGTACGAATGCGAAATAGACGACTCAAATTCAGATCGGATATCGTCTACATTTTTCTGGTAACAAATATATATAACTACTACCTGGCTACAAAATAACTTATTTTATAGCCACTTTGAGTTACGATAATTACTATGTTAATTTATGAGATTATAGTACTAAGTGGTTTACTATAACGTTATGGTAAATATCCCCATGTGTTATAGTAAACTAACTATCGTAAATATGTATTGACATTATCGTAAATTGGTATATAAAATTATCGTAAACAGAGATGGCTATAGAATAACTTATTTTGTAGCTAACTACTGAATATGAATATACACTCCGTGTATATATATATATATATTTTCTTGTCGATGATTTTAGCAGAACAAAACCATTATGAATGTAAAGAATATTATTATATAACACCTTTAGGTAACGACAACTTATAAAATAACATATATAACAATAAGTAACAGAAGCATACCCCACGCGTTGCCATGGGGTTTTTAAAAAATAAATATGTTGTATATATAGCATTATTATATGGTATTCTGTATACTATGTGTATATATATGAATTTGACTTGCATGTTATTTTATTTGTATCGGATCTGGTAAAAAATCGGTAAGCTAATAGAAGAGGATATTTGATCACGTTATAAAACAATAGGTGATGAAACAAATAGCATATGTAAATGACTTTACGTAAGTAGATTAGAGCTTAAAAGTATTGTACATAATAAAGATGGTGTGGACATTTTATGTAGTTAATAAGGAATGACATGGATAATAGAAGAAAAACCAACACTACCGGAATCGAAGGATTTGCCGAGTGTCATATTCATTGTCGAGTGTATTTTATCGGATACTCGGCAAACCATCTCTCTGCGTTGAGTGCAAAACTAAAAACACTCGGCAAAGATTTGACACTCGTCAAACTATCTGTTTGCTGAGTGCCTTACTAAAAACACTCGGCACATCTAATTAGACTGTAGCTCACGCCTGGAGGCCACGATCCACATCTAATTAGACTGTAGCTCACGCTACACACATGGCAATTAGTATTGTGTTGAGGAAGTCCACTCCGATTGTTGTCCGGCCATCGGAGCCGGTGACGACGAGTGGCAGTGGCAGCATAATCAAGCTCTCGTCTTTTGACAAGGTTTATGATACGATCGAGGTCACCATGCTGCAAGCGTTCGAATACCCAATCCAGGAGACCGCGGAGACCATAAAGAGAGCCTTGTCCCAAGCATTAGTCCACTAACACCCTTTTGCTGGCCGCCTTGTAGCAGCTGCTGATACCGGCGATGAGGTGGCCAGCCACATTCTGTGCAGCGGTGACGGGGTGGTGTTCGTCGCTGCATCTGCAAGCTGTGCCTTAAAAGAAGTCAAGTTCTCCAACGACCTATCGTCGGCTGGCGCAAGGACGCTACTACATAAGCTCGCGGTCGACTATCCAGACCACCACGGCTGTGGCGGTGGTCCCACTGATCGTCCTTTGCTGCTGATGCAGGTGACAGAGTTCACGTGCAGTGGATTTGCTTGGGGTGACCTGGAACCACGCTGTCGCCGATGGTGCTGGGATGGGCCAATTCTTTCAGGCCATCGGGTGAGCTTGCCCGTGGATTGCCATCGCCTACAATTCTTCCGGTCAGGTGGGATGATTCACTCCCACGTCTCCCAGCCAATAAGGCCGTTGTTCCACTAGAACTGAGTATACCTCATATAGTTTCATTCTCCCACCTTGCCTTCCTAGACATCACTGTCCCCTCGAGCTTGGTTGGCCGCATCAACGATGAATTCGGCATCCGCTTTAATGGCCAGGTGATGTGGCAGTGCCATACCCGCGCAACCATGTCGGACCCCGACGCCCTGCGCTGCTTCTGTTTCCAGTTAATGTGCGCAAGCATGTTGTTGGCCTGAAGAAAGCGTACTACGGCAATTGCCTAACCGCGGAAATTGTCAGGGCAAAGAGTGGCACGGTGGCACGTGGAGATATCATCGACCTGGTGAACTTGATCAACTACTCCAAAGAGAAAATAGGTGACCAGCTGTTCAAGAATAACACAGGCAGCAGCTGCCGGCGGCAGGAGGAGGAGGAGGCAGCGGCTCTCCAGGTTCCATATTCTTCCTGGAGAAATCTTGGCCTCGACGAAGTTGACTTTGGTAGCGGGAGACCGGCACGGGTTGCGTCCTGTGTAGCAGAGGACCAGCCCAGCATTCCAGTTTTTGTACTGTTACCTGAATGCAGAGGGAAGGTCGGGGCCACTATGTTATCTGCCACGGTGAAGGAGGAGCATGCTGAAGCTTTCCATTGAGAATTAGCTTACTGTTACGGATGCTCCTAATGAGAGTTTTATGGGTATTAAATATGCTGACATGGTACTATATTAATAAAGAGAGAGATGATGAAAGTTTCACGGCAGTAGAGGGAGTTTCATGCGGATGAAACTCATCTGCACTGTTTCCAAAATTTGCGTGTGTTGGAAACTGTATCATGAAACCTCCACTGAGACTGGCCTAACAACCAAGGAAGTCGTATTATTGTAAATCAACTACGTTGTTTTTGCCTGTGTTACGTTGTATGTATTTCAGGGAGTATGCGTGTCCCCTTAAATGTAACGCTTGGTGTTGTGGATAATAAGGAAGTACTAGTCCATTAACCCGTGCACTCGCACAAGTTAGAACCTCACGAGTAATTGATTGTATTAATATTTACTCTTAAGTATCACTGTAAGGACCATAACGTCTAAGAGGGGTGAATTAGGCAACTTAAAAATCTACTTCTAACTATGGCCTCTAATTTTGACCTTAGCAAAACCTATGCAAAAAAATTAATTATCTAAATGCGCAACTACGGTTTTACTAGGTGTGTTGCTATCTCTACCGCAAAAGAGTTATGCACCTTAGGTTCTAATCCTATTAATTGGCCTATCAAAATAAACTAAGAAAGTAAGCACGCACCCAAGATACATAATAAAAATACGGAAGGTAAAAGGGTGATAGAGATGTAAACTACCGTCAATGAGTCCAGTATTTGTACTGATATATCGAGAAGCTTCCACTTCCCCCTAGTCCTCGTTGCACGTGGATGTCAATCCGCTTCGAGGTTTATGATCCGCCCGCTCCGATCCATTTTCATCTCTAGTGTCTCCTTTAAGCTATTTTGGCATAGTGGGTGTTTAGTTATTAAGAATATGGTTAATATACTTTGTTCAGGTTGTTCATATATCGATCTCAGCTACATAGGCATGAAGGACAAATTTGAGGTAGGAGGAAGAATCTCCTAGCAAGCAATACTAAGATGCCCTATTTCACCAACAATTGTCTGCTTCACTATCACTATATATACCTGCTACGCAACAGTATTAGTCCGGCTGTGCATCACTATCCTGGTTCCGGACTAGGAATCTTTAGTCTTGATTGTCTGTGACTAAATGATCTATGCGAGGCTAAAAAATAATATGTGATTCGTGGGACTCAAACTCAAGACCTCATGCATTGCCTCACGCATAGCTAACCACTCCACCTAGACATCAAATGTGACTTTGGATGTGATGGTTTTCTTTTGAACTAACCTCTAGAGGACCTTTAGTCTGGTTGGTAACACCAACCGGGATTAAAGGATCCTTTAGTCCGGTTGGTGTTACCAACCGGGACTAAAGGGTCTACATTAGTCTAGTTTGATATTATTATCTAAGACTAAAGGGTCAAGGCTCTTTAGTCCGGGTTGGAAACACCAACTGGGACTAATGTAGACCCTTTAGTCTGGGTCAGTGTAACAAACCGGGACTAAAGGTCCTCCACCCATGAAACATAGACCCGGGACTAATGCTCACATTAGTCCTGGGCCTAAGTCTAGCCGAGACTAATATGCTGAACCGAAGGTCTGTTCTCTACTAGTGTCTTCATGGCCATTGGGAGAAGAACTACAAACTACAGTGATACTGGGTTTGGTTACAGAAATCTCACATACATATGACTTGCTACCACTATCGTAGATCCGTCTATGGAAAGCTCAAACTAATAAAACATTTATACATATATCTTACATACACACATAATTAAGCCATTCCTAATTCATTTTCACAAGGGTCCTCTTTGGGCCTGGCCCTGCCAGATCGGATTCCAGAATATGTATGACCAACCCAAGCAGTAACTCATTTCGCCACGGGCCTGGCCAGAGTATAGGATAGGAGAGTGTTGGGCACTTGGGCTTTTCAATTTGAATCAAGTCCAAGTTGGCACGCAACACAAAAGTACTACTCCACCATAGATTAGCTGAAGCACTCGTGATCATCCCAACAAAAGAAATAATGGAGCAAATCTCTACGCCTAAAAATACTAGAACGTCATCATCTACCGAGTGATATCAAGTCCTGATCCATGCTCACGCGTCCGCATCCTATACGAAGTCATGATCCACGTCATCATCTTCATGGAGCTCACGCGTCCGCGTCCATGTGCTTGTCATCCGATGGTGCAGTTCAACCCCTACTCGGACAAGCCAGCGCCGATCCATCTGCGTTACCTTCTCTGCATGGAACTCCAACTCTATGCGTCAATTCCTGGAGAAGAACTAAAAGGAGACCTCCGGCAAAGAGATAATGAATACTACCATCCGTGCACTTCTAGTGGTATATATATCATAAATACATTCATTTTTTATATTCTTCCAATATAATTCATGCAACTGGCTACAAACCTAAGGATGCACTGGTTATTATTATATTATTTTCTCCCCTTGCATTGCATAGGCATATATGATTCTTATTTTTCCACCGGAGGCGAGCCCCATTTCCATTCAGACGGAAATACAGGAGTTTGGTTTAGCAAAAGAAGAAACAAGCTAACATCTCCAGCACATCTGATCTCTACCTCAGAGACAGATTGCTCTCAGGCATAAAAGTTCTAAAGCCCACAAACATACGCATGTAGAATGGGCATGATTCTAGTAATAATGGGAAAGAAATGTACTTATGGAAAACTAAGAACATGGCTGAAATGCGGTAAGGGCCTGTTAGGATCTCAGAGCTAAACATTAGCTCAGCCTGTCAAAATAGGATAAACATGAGCTAATTACGAGCTAACAAGGGTAATGGACTCTAACCACCAATTAGCCTCGTTAGCCTTTCTATTTGGTATCCGAAAACAGGAGCTAATTGTGAGCCCCCTGGATCCAAACAAACAGCCCCTAACCTATGTAAAAAGAATACTTGTGGCATATGTGATAGATTGCGCAGCATAGGAACCATGTATCCCATTGAAATATTGTCTACCAAACAGTATTAACAAAAATATATACTTGTACATGGGCTGCGCAGTCCAGGAATTCGGAAGGGCCACACTAGAGTCAAAACCGGCCCACATGCACATGGACATATAAACAATTCCGGACACGCTGGCCGCTACCTCACATGCTTAATTCTGCCCCTAAAAAAAGCATGCTGGTGTCTCCATGGGCTTCGTCCCTTACTGTTTTTGTCTTCATCTCATATACATGGGCTCTCGCATTTTGTACAGAAACACGGTTGGACAGTTTTAGTACATATACTTAATACCAAATGGATAACAAATTGTACCATTCGAGTATTTTACCACATATCTTTGAAGCGGGGTTCTCTGTAATTGTGTGTCGTCCCTAGTGGCAACGTCGTACACATCTTCGATCACATCTTCCTCTGAGTCCTCGTCAATCGCCTCCTCAGTGTACGGGGGCTTGATATGTGTCCTGTAGACCTGTGAAGCTACCGCAGGTACTCGTCGAGGGTGTGCTGGTCGTGTGGGGGACCCACATGGCCCGGCTGCCGTTCCCTGTTCTGCCACAAGTGGATGTACGCGTTGTGTGTCACGCGCCAATCCTTGGTCTTGTACCTCTTCCTGCGGTCATACCTGCAACAAAACGATGTTAGTTGTACCACACACACCTCTGAATTGTAGCTTTGTTATTAATCGATAACGCACCCGTGTAATTCTTGCTTGGTGGAGTAAAGCGGTGGTGGGTAGCCTGTCATTCTTCCAAACTGCTTGCAACCCTGATGGGCAAGTGAATCTCGACCATGTGAAAGAAAATAAGACACTACGGGAGAGACAAAATTCCCCGAGTGTCGCTGGCTTCCCCGAGTGCCAAAAATCGGACACTCGGGAAAGAGGATCTTCCCCGAGTGTTGCACTCGGGGAAGAATTACACTCGGGGAAGAGAGGCTTTCCCGAGTGCCTCGAAGAACCCGACACTCGGTAAAGAGCAAAGACTGGGCAAGGCACTCTTCCCGAGTGCAACACTCGGGAAGATCGACACTCGGCAAAGAAACATGCTACTTGACGGTTCACCCCCCCCACGCCGTTAAAACTTAAAAACAAAATTCTTCCCCGGGTGCCTTCCACGGCACTCGGGAAGAGTCCTTTCCCGAGTGTCGAACAGGACACTGGGAAGAGGCTTCCTTCCGAGTGCCCCGTCCCCGCACTCGGAAAGGGATTTCTTCCCCGAGTGCCGTGAAGGCACTGGAAGAATTTTTTTTTTACCTCATTTTTGTGAGGCCTTCCCACATTGTTTAAAACTGCATGTTCATATTTGGGACAATTTTGACTTATTTTGTTATATTTCGTTAGTTTTTTCGTTTTTTTAATTTGAATTTTTTTTACTTCAAATTGAGTTGCGGGTGCATGAAATAATGGAATTTGGTGATTCAAAAATTATATCTCCGCAGATATTTGGTGTATGTTGTCCGGGTTTTAGGCATCCGACGCTGCAACTTCATGAAACCTTCTCGATTTTTTATCATAGCCTCTATATGCGTATAACACACGCCTTTTAACAACTTCAGGATTTTCAACTTGTCGATTTTATATAATTTAAATACACTTTTCCCACAAGTTGTTCGCTGTCATGTTACGCTCAACAAGATGGTCGTTATTTCATGCGAGTTCCTAGATAAGGCATCAACATACACCAAATATCATTAATATAATATTTTGAATCACCAAATTCCATTATTTCATGCACCGCAGCAGCTCATCAAATTCAAGTATGCAAAAAATTCAACGAAACGAAATATAACAAAATAAGTCAAAATTGTCCCAAATATGAACATGCGCTTTTAAACAATGTGGGAAGGCCTCACAAAAAAAATGAGGTAAAAAAACAAAAAAAATAAAAATTCTTCCCCGAGTGCCTTCCCTGGCACTCGGGGAAGAGAGTTTCTTCCCGAGTGCTAGGGACAGGCACTCGGGAAGACTTAAAAAAAAAAAGCCCAAAGCAGCCTTATCTAAACCTAACCGCCACCCCACCCCAAACCGCCAGCAGCCCGCCCGCCAGCAG